TATCAAGAACATACTGGGATCCCGCGCTGGGGATGCAGCAGTCAACACAGCTCACTGGGTCCTGGCTCTCGTGAGCTTACATTTTAAAAGGAAAAAATTCAGAGACTGACAAGTACTGTGTAAAACATTGAAATAGGGTGGTGTGTTACAGCGTGACCGAGCAGGTGACAGGAGGCTGATATCTGAATGAGAAGAGTGAGTCAGCCGTGAAAGAGGCTGCGAGAAAGGGCATCTCAGGCCCTGAGACCAGCTACTGCAACAGCTCTAAGTGGGAGTCAGGTTGTAATGGCCTCAGGACAGAAAGAAGGACCATGAACTAAGCTATAAAGATACGGAGAATTAAACCCTACAAGAAATATGCAAAACCTACAAGAAGAATATTATAAAACTCTACTGGTGGTCATTGAACACAACCTTAATGAAGGAGTATACTATGTTTATGAACAGGAAGACGCACTAAGATATTATCTTCCCCCAAATAATCTATAAAATCAATGCAATTACAATTTTTAAATTCCATTAGTGGTTTTAATTTGGAACTTGACAAATAAATTGTAAGATTCACCTAGACAGGGTCTTCCCTGGTTGGCGCAGTGGTTTAGAATCTGCCTGCCAATGCAGGGGACACGGGTTCAAGCCCTGGTCCAGGAAGATCCCAAATGCCGCAGACCAACTAAGCCCGTGCGCCACAACTACTGAGCCTGCGCTCTAGAGCCCACGAGCCACAACTACTGAGCCCGCATGCCACAACTACTGAAGACCACACGCCTAGAGCCCCTGCTCTGCAACAAGAGAAGCCACCTCAATGAGAAGCCCGCGCACCACAATGAAGAGTAGCCCCCCGCCTCCTGCAACTAGTGGAAGCCCGCGCGCAGCAACGAAGACCCAATGCAGCCAAAAATAAATTAATTAAATAAATAAATCAAAAAAAAGAGAAGAATATGGAGCAGCGCTGTGATAGATCAGTGAAACATAACTGAGAATCCAGAAATAGACCATGTACATATGGAAATTTAGTATTGTACTCTAAAGGATAAAGATATATTTAAAATTAGAATAGAAAGGATAAATGGATTATTCGATAAGGATACTGGAACAATTAGCTATCAATTAAAGAAAAAAAGTAGAGCTTGGTCTCAACCTTATTCAGCAAATCAGAGATTCAAGTATAAAAAATAAGCTATCAATGTTATATGAGAAAATGTATCTTTGTATGGTGTTTGAGCAGGACAGCAAAACCAGAAACCTTTCGAAAAGGAAACCTTTAACAGTTCTACCACAGAAAAATTTGTAAATTTCTGAATGGTAATAGACACCATAAATGATTTTAAACGATACATGAACAAGCCACAGACTGGGAGAAAATATCTGCAAACCATATATCCAACGAAGGACATACATAGAAAAAAAAAAAAACACCTCTCTAAACTCAACAGGAAGAAAAGAACCAAAAATGTCCCCAGACATTGCTGATGTCCCCTGCGGGTTCAAATCACCCCTAGACGAGAACCACTGAATTAGAAATCAACCATAAGAAGGAGACAAGGACTGAAAATAAATGCACATGAAAAGATGTTCAATATCATTAGCCATAAGGAAAATAAAGCTCTGATAAGATAATGCTAAACGCCTATTAGAACGGCTAAAATAACAAAACACTGATAATACCAGAGGTTTGCGAGGAAGGGGAGCGATTGGCGCTCTCGTTCATCGCTGGTGAGGATGCAAATGGTACAACCACTCTGCCAGACAGTTTCAGTTTCTTGTAAAGTTAAATATCCCCTCGCCACATGATGCAGCAATGACACCCTGGCGTATTTTTCCTAGAGAAATAAAAATGAATGTTCACACCAAAACCTGTATGCAAACATTCCTAACAGCTTGATCCGTCCTAGCCAAAATCTGGAGAAGACCCAGATGTCCTGCACCAGGTGGCACATGCATACCATGGACACCACTCGGCAATGAAAAGGAACAAACTACTGATCCACTCGGCAACCTGGGTCATCTTAAGGGAACTATGTTGAGTGAAAAAAAGCCAATCTCAAAGGGTACACACCGGGATTCCATTTATATGATATTCTCTAAATGACAAAATTGTGGGAATGGAGACCAGGCAGGTGGTTCCCAGGAGTCAGGGTCGTGGGAGGGTATAAGTGTTAAGGACTAGCACAGGGAGTTTCCTTCTGGTGATGAACTCAAATCTACATATGTGATAGTATTTCCAAGAACCATGTGTATACACACACACACACGCACGCACGCACGCACGCACGCACGCACACACGAGTATGGGTAGGAACTGGTGAAATCCAAATAAGGTTGATAATTAACTTAATAGGATTGAATGAATGTCAGCTTCCTGATTTAAACAATGCACACGGTTGTGTAAGTTACGAAGGGAACCTTGGTGAAAGGTTCACCGGAACTCTCTGTACTAATTTTGCAACTTCTTGTGTGTCTTAAACTCTTTCAAAATAAAAAGTTATAATCTAAAAAAAAAAGACAGAAAAAAGACACAAATGAAAAACCAGGAAACAGAACTGCAACATGTATAATAGAAAAAGAGGTACCATCCAAAACGTATAGAGCTCTTAAAAATGACTATGAAAATAAATAGCTCAATCAATACGTAGATCAATATCAGGAAATTCAGAGAAGAACTATAAATGTCCATATGTCCATATTCAATCTCACTAATAATCACATACATTCAGATTAAGGCAAGGAAGTGTGAGCTTCCATCCATAAAGATTAACGGCCAGGATACAGAGAAAGGGCCACTCCTAGACACTGCCAGCGAGAGTGGAGACTGGCCAGCATTCTAACACACAACTTGATGGTACCTATCCAAGTTCTAAATGTTTACACCTTTGGACCCAGTAACTCTGCTTCTAGGAAACACAGAGATGTCCATTGCAGCACTGTTTTTGGTTTGTCTGTTCGGCTGCACCGCGCGGCTTGTGGGATCTTAGTTCCCCGACTGGGGATTGAACCCCAGCCGTTGGCAGTAAGAGCGTGGAGTCCTAACCATTGGACCGCCATGGAATTCCCGCAGCATTGTTTATAATAGTGAAAAACTGGAGATGGCCTGCATACGTGTCACAGAGGGCTGGTTGGACAAATTATAATGGCAACTAATATTTACCCGTTGCTTTCGATGTTCCAGGAACTTTCATGAGTATTTTACACGTAATAATTCGATTTAATCCTCACAACCACCCTATGAAGTAGGTTCTAGATGCTGTTATTATGCCTGTTTTACAACTGGGGAAATTAGCCAGTGGGTAAGCTGGGATGCACATGCAGGCAGCCTGGGTCTAGAACCTGCACCCTTTTTCCTTAACAGAGAACTCTGAGCATCCTGAAGGTCTGAAAGTGGAATGTCAAGTTCAGAAAGAAGAAGGAGGTGCTCTGGAGTCACACAGGGAGTAGCTCAGTTCAGAGGAGGGTTGACCTTGCTTCCTAGTAGTTGGGAAACAAAAGAACTCCATGGAGGGAAGGGGCTGACGGATTGCAGAAAGGAAATCTTATAAACAAACTGTGGGATATCCACACAGTGGAATATTATCCAGCCTTAAAAAGGAATGAAATTCTGACACAAGCTACAACATGGATGAATGCTGAAGACATTATGCTATGTGAAAAAAGTCAGACACAAAAGGACAAAAATGTAAGATCACACTTGTACGAGGTACTCAGATTCACATAGACAGAAAGTAGAATGGTTTTTACAAGAAGTTGATGGGAGGGAGGAATGGGGAACTAGTGTTTAATGGGATGATAAAAGTTCTGGAGACGGATGGTGGTGATGGTTGCATAAGGCTGTATATGTGCTTAATACGACTGAACTGCATGCTTGAAAATGGTTCAAATGGTAGTTTTTAGCTTATGTACAAAAAAAAGATAAGCTAAATCTAATAAAGCCTTTAGATCTAACTTTCAGTTTACAGTAAAAACAGGGATTAACAGAACAAATTAAGTGACACTGTGAAGACACATTAGGCAAATGTAGAATGTGGGACATTCTACAAGAAAACTGGCCTGAACTTTGAAAAGTCAACCTCATGGGGGAAAAAATGGAGTAGTTGTTTGAATTAAAAGAGACTAAAAAAGGACTTCCCTGGTGGCGCAGTGGTTAAGAATCCGTCTGCCAATGTAGGGGACATGGGTTTGATCCCTGGTCCGGGAAGATCCCACATGCCGCAGAGCAACTAAGCCCGCGCACCACAACTACTGAGGCTGTGCTCTAGAGCTCGCAAGTCACAACTACTGAGCCTGTGAGCTACAACTACTGAAGCCCAAGAGCCTAGATCCTGTGCTCCGCAGCAAGAGAAGCCACCGCGATGAGAAGCTGGCGCACCACAATGAAGAGTAGCCCCCGCTCGCCGCAACTAGAGAAAGCCTGCACAGCAACGAAGACCCAACGCAGCCAAAAAAAAGAATGCCCCAAGGCAAATAAAACTGTGACAAATTCAAGAACTGTATTAAAAAAATAAGAGACTAAAAAGGCACAATAACCAAATGTAATGCATGCGTTTAATAGGATCCTGCATCAAAAATGAACAAACCAAATTAAAAGCCATATTTGAAATGACAGGGGAGATTTGATTATGGACGAGATATTAAGTGATATTAGAGAAATAATGTTAGTTTTCTTAGGTCTGAATATGGTACTGTGGTTATGTTAGAAGAATGTCCTTATTTTTAGGAGCTACTTGTGCAATACACTGCAATATCTCGGGGTGAAGTGTCATATCTACAACCCAGGTTCAAATGATCCAGAAAAGGGCTTCCCTGGTGGTGCAGTGGTTAAGAATTCGCCTGCCAATGCAGGCGACATGAGTTCGAGCCCTGATCCGGGAAGATCCCACATGCCACGGAGCAACTGAGCCCGTGCGTCAGAACTACTGAGCCCGCGATCTAGAGCCCGTGCTCTGCAACAAGAGAAACCACGGCAATGAGAAGCCCGCATGCAGCAACGAACACCCAACGCAACCAAAAATAAATAAATCAAATAAATTTATTTAAAAAAAAAAGATCCAGAAAAAACAAAAGCCTCACACACCCGTAAAGAGGGATAAAGCAAATATGGCGGAAGGGAAACAACCGTTGAATCCTAGGTGGTGGGTGAACACTGTAGACTTCTTTCCATTTTTCTGTATGTTGAAAATATTCTTAATAAAACGTTGGGAGAGAACCTGGTCCAGTGGTCCAGTTGTCCAGTGGCTGTGGAGTTATCATTAGTATTATTGTGACAGTCCCCAGCACGATGTCAGGTATATAGAGGGATGAGTGGCTTTGGGAAAAATCACTTGGGCTCCCCGGGCCTCAGTGACGCCGCCTGGTGTGGGGTGAGGGGCCCCGTAGAGGCCACCGCACACACCCTCGCGGGACGGTAAAAGTGCGACTGCTGGGGGCGTGGCGGCCGGAGCGCGGGCTGCGGAAGCGGGGGCGGAGCTTGCGGGGGCGGAGCTTGCGGTGGCTCGGCGTAGGATCCCACAGCCTTGGAAGAGCGCAGCCTCTCTGAAGTTGGGGGCGGAGTCTCTGTCTCGCGGACCAGTAGCGGAGTAGCTGTCAAAACGCGCGCCGAAGGGAAAAGGAGAAGATCGCAGGCGGATCCCAGGGCTTGGCGCTAGGCCGCTGCGGGGAGGGTCCTCCCTCTCCCGGACTGGTCCGCCTGGTCCGCCCGGGCCCTTTGCGTCTCAGGTACCCAGGCAAAGAGAGGGGGAACTGCAGACCAGAACCCCGACCTGGCTGTCGCCTCCCGGCGTGACCGCTCGGCAGAACCACGTAGACTTCTGCCCCTGCTTCCTCCTTTGTGAAGTAAAAACCCGATGTAGGGGGAGGACGGGACATGCCCGAATGACTCAGAGGTGGGAGGCGGTGAGGGGGAGGATGGTGGCTTCCCCCCCCCGCCTCGTGGCAGTTCAACCGAAAATGAAGTAATAGCTTCTGGCTAGCTCACAGAGTTATACTTTACAGTTCCTGTACATAAAGAGTATAGCAGGAGCTGAAAAGTACACGGTGCCTGGGACAGCAACCAAAAGGAGTACGTCGGATATTGATTACCCGAAACTGGATGTTTATTAGGTATTAGCGGATACCAAGGAATCACTGACAGTTTTGTTAGTTTTATGGCTGATAAAGCCATTATCACGTCTTCAATAAAAGTATCCATTTTCTGGAGGTGCATGCTGACGGGGAAATTGACAATGTCTGCGAGTTGCTTTAAAACAAATGACAGACTAAAGTTTTAGTTGTTGCTTTGTCTAAGAGATGTGATGGTCATTGATCTTTCTTCTGAGGCTAGAGGATACTTTAAACACAGTACTTTAAGAGAAATAGACCTCTGTGGGGAGGGTATCTTCTCTACCCCCCACCTCTTTAAAGTATTATATAGAAAAGACATTGTAAAAAGTCCAGTCTCACTCAGAGACAGCCCTGACTGTGTACAGCTGTTGGAGCTTTTCCTGGTTAATCTTTTTTTTTCCTGGATCTTAACACTTCTTTCTCTTCAATCATTTTTGGCGTTTTGCCAGATGCAGAGCAGAAGTCTCTGGCAAATCTGAAAGACCGCGTACGAAGTAAAATGAGAACTGTTACTAAGTTCATGTCTCCACCCTCATCCGAATGGAGGTTTTCAACGCCCCCCCCCCTTTAGGCTCTTTGATGCCCAATAAGCAGTAAATGAATTCCTAGTTCTTCAATCATTCTCTGAACTTTTTCTCAGGAATTTTTGCTCAGTTTGCAATTTTTAAAACAATGTCGACATTTGCCCAGTTTGCAATTTTTAAAACAATGTCGACATAGAGGACAGGAGTCCGACAGCAGACACGATTTCAGGGGGAAACTGCACCAAAGGCCCTCTCTCTGTTATTAACTTGAAAGTTTGAAAAGTTCGCATTTTACGTGAATTATCTCATTTAATCCTTTCATTTTATTAGTAATCCCACAGGTCAGGTATGGCTACGAGGCCCAATTTACCGACGAGGGCACCAAATCTTTGTCAGATGACGTGTCCTAGTGACTCAGCAGTCCGCGCCCCTAACCGTTTAGACGGTACGTTCACCACCGACCACCCCACACATTTGCCCGACCTCAGGGACCCTGCTTGCACCCCCGCCCAGCTACACGTATCTAAGTCGCCGCAGCCACGTTCCCTCGCAGCCAGGGGCTTTGTACTGGCATTTGCACCAACCTCATTTGCAAAACCATTTACCCGGAACCGCGAAACGGGTTCAAGAGACGTTTTCAGAGAGGTGGGGCTCGGCGGGGTGGGGAATCCTCTCCCGCTCTCCGGCGGGCGGGCTCCAATCGCGTTGCTTCATTCAATCCCAAACCTTTCCGGTACGAGCGAGTGCCCGCGCGCGCCAGGGCCACCGGAGCGCGCAGGGCCTGCAGACTTTGTCCTATGGGGCTCTCAGGGATATGGGCGGTGACGCCCCCAGCCCAGCCTGCGGCCCACAGAGGTCTGGGAGGGGTAGGTCCCGAGGCTCCCAGGAGAGCAGGGCAACCGGCGTCCGCGCGCGGCTCCGGAATCTGCTGCGGGAGGCGTGGCCAGCGGCCGGCATCCATCCAATGGGAAACGGCCACGCCCACGGCGCTCTCCTGTGAGGGAAGCTTTAAATTTCCGGCGCCGCGGAGAAGGGGCTTCCAGTACCTGCGCGCAGCCCCATCTTGACGAGCTGTACGCAGCCATGCTCTCCGTCCGTGTCCCTCTCGCCACCATCGCTGACCCGCAGCAGCAGCATCCCCTCCAGCTCTCGCCCATGAAGGGGCTCAGCCTGGCGGACAAGGAGAACACTGTGAGCGCGCAGGGGCGAGGGGCGGGACAGGGCGGCGGGGTCCTGAAGGACGCGGGCAGGCCTCTCACCACGCGTCTCCCTGCAGCCCCCGTCCCTCAGCGGGACCCGCGTGCTGGCCAGCAAGACCGCGAGGAGGATCTTCCAGGAGCCCGCCGAGCCAGTGAGTAGGCGGGCTGGGGGCGCCCGGCGAGGGGGCGCTGCAGGCAGGCGGTGCAGGAGGAGCCTGCTCTTGGCGCCAAAGCCTTTGTCTCCTCGCAAACCCTACCCCCTCCCGGGCCCGCGCTGCTTTCCCGCCAAAGTCTCTTCCCGATCATTTACTACTTTACACATCTGGACATTTTCCCATTATGTCTCTACTATAGTCCTGCTCTGTTATGTACAGAACCCATGTGTGACAAGCGACATACATTAAACCGCATGAAATTCCCGATAATTGGACATACTTTGCTTAAAAAAAAAAGACAGTTTCGTGGTTCGCCCTATACTTAACATTTTCCATCCTTTCTCCCCCAGCAGAACCCTAAGCTATCTGCCCCCAGTGTGGAGGAGGAACCACTTCTGAAAGAAAACCCCCGCCGCTTTGTCATCTTTCCTATCGAATACCATGATATCTGGCAGATGTATAAGAAAGCTGAGGCTTCCTTTTGGACAGCTGAGGAGGTAATCGGATTCAGGAACTAGGAGACTTAAAAGGCAGTTGGAAGCATTGCCCCTAACTCTAGAGGAAGACCCCTGCAGTGCCGGTTATAACTTGTGTGAAATGTGCTTTGCTTTCCTCGTGTTCCTCTTGGGAATGCTTGCCCACAGAGGGAGGATATTAGATGTTCTCCCTGGCAAAGTGCGTGAGGGGTATATTAATCAAGCGATACTAGTACACTTAAAGTTGAAGAATTACGCATATGTGTGAGGTCCTGCACGTTTGAACCCCTTGTGAACTTCTGTACTCCAGGTGGACCTTTCCAAGGACATTCAGCACTGGGAAGCCCTGAAGCCTGAGGAGAGATATTTCATTTCGCATGTTCTGGCTTTCTTTGCAGCAAGTGATGGCATAGTAAATGAAAACTTGGTGAGTTTCCAAAAATAAAGTCTACTTTTATGCATTTCAAGACTTAAGAGAACTAATAATTTTCTTTTTTCGTCTTTTAAATTTTTCCACACTGAATGTGTATATATCTGTAAGCTAGTATTTATATTCCATGGCATTTCCTGTTCTATAATATACTTTGCAGTTATTTCGTCCTTACGGTATTTTTTCCCCCAACTGTAGAGAAGCTCAAAGACGATGTTCAGTGGTAGTAATAGATCTACAGCCCTGGTAGCTATCTATTTGCTCTCCTTTTTGTGGCTTTGCTGTTTTAATAATTTGGTTGCATATATGTCTTGTTGAGTGCATCCTCCTTGCGATGAATTAAAAAGAATGAATTGCTATTTCTACCTTATGATGATACAAAAGAGGAAGTGTGACGCAACCAGTGTTCATTGACTTGAGTTGCTGCTGGTAGATTTTCCTTAAACTGACCTTTGTGTTTTACCACTAGGTGGAGCGGTTTAGCCAAGAAGTTCAGATTACGGAAGCCCGTTGTTTCTATGGCTTCCAAATTGCCATGGAAAACATACATTCTGAAATGTATAGTCTCCTCATTGACACTTACATTAAAGATTCCAAAGAAAGGTGAGTATTTGGGTGGTGATATGCCAACATATTTAGGATTACCAATTGTTACTTTTTGAGATCGTACAGGGATAGAAGAATGACTCTAAAATGACCAAGTCAAAGAAATTCCTAGCACCCATGGTCCTGTCTGCTCTGAAGAAGAGGCCTAAATTCACTTTACTAGCCCAGTCACTTAAAAACAAAGTTATGAGGTTACTCCATTTTCTAGAGGTGGAAATATAGTGCTGAACGTCCAACCTAATGCCTTCTAAAAAACATCCCTAGAGGCTGTGTCTGATGCCCTAAAACCTAGGTCTGATAGTTTTCACATCTGGCAAATCTGTCAACCTACAACTTGAGCCTGGGGCAGGGTGGAAAGGGTGGAGGATGCAAAGTAAAACATAAAACTTGCCTCGTAAGGGGCTGTAACATAATATAGAAAATAAGACCTAGGAGTATAAGTAGAGGAATTACATGGTAGTGCAGAGGCAGCTGTGAACCATGAGATTAATTTAGGCACACAGCTGTTTGCCTGAAATTATAGTTTATATTGGAGGATAATAGAGGAGAAATATAGGTAGCCTCGGGCCTATTTCACATTTTCAAGATTGACTGGAAAGGATGGGAGAGTTAGAAATGGGCGTTTGAGTAGTCTAGATACTAAGGTCAGCTTCAGGACAAGAGCCTGTGTAGAACAGAAGTGGTGAAGCTGAAGAGTAGCCTCTTGTAGATGACTTGGAAGAAAGTGAAGAGGGGAAATGAGTAGTGACTTGCAAGCCTAGCAGGATTGAGGCGATTCATTGGGGGTAAAAAGATTTGAACATGTTTGTAGACAGAAATGAACAAAGAAAGTAAAGGTAGGGGCATGATGGGGATACATTACCAGAACAGGTAGGATCAGGACGGCCTGGTGGTTGAGTTTTGAAAGCCAGGGAGAGGCGAGACCCAGGTTGACATGGAAAGAGAATGAAAGGAACCCAATGGCCTGATGACCTTGGCTTCAGAAAACAAGGTCATCTGGGAAGGACAAGGCTGGACTGGGGAATCTGTAGACTCCCAAGGTGGGAATGGGGAGGAAGAGAGTAATAAGACCAGGTAAGTGTAGGGCCAGTCGATTTGCTTTTCTGGCCTGGGATCAACATTGTAGCATAGAATTATAGCTGGAAGCAATCTCAGGTTGTTTAGTTTATTGGCTTTAATTGCTTTATTATATACTTGTGGCATTTGTGGCCCAACTAATTAGCACAATGATAAGAGTGTGGGCATCTATTTAGGGAGATAATGGTCAGCATAGCTTAAACAGTCCTAGCAGTTAAGATTTTATAGTTCTTCAAAGTTAAAGGTAGGGCCTTTGAACCTTGTCATGACCTGGACTTGAAATAATTAAGCCAATAAATGCTCTTGGTGTAATAGACTGAGTTTTCATGTTAGTAGATCTTGGGGCTCAGTGTGAACGAATGGATGCCTAAATTTGTATTAACATAAACCAAATGAATGTTGAGATTTTTGAAAACACTGGAGGAAAAAGCAAACAAGTAAAAAGAAAACATTTCAGTTTGAATCCCAAATTGGCCTTGGTCCCAATGCTCTTACCCAGAAGCTTAGGATAGGAGGTCTCTGCTGGAATTGTTGATGCTCTGTGTGCCTACAGGGAATTTCTCTTCAACGCCATTGAGACAATGCCTTGTGTAAAGAAGAAGGCAGATTGGGCCTTGTGCTGGATTGGGGACAAAGAGGCTACGTATGGTAAGGATACCTTGGCCCTACTTACCCCTGAGCTTCGTTTTCTAAGTGATGTTACTGGTTTGTTCCTATGAACACAAACAGATACTCAGTAGAAATATTTTGGCGTTAACTCTAGGAGAACGTGTCGTAGCCTTTGCTGCAGTGGAAGGAATCTTCTTTTCTGGTTCTTTTGCATCGATATTCTGGCTCAAAAAACGAGGACTGATGCCCGGCCTCACATTTTCCAATGAACTTATTAGCAGAGATGAGGTGAGTCTAGTTCAGATGACAGGCTGACCTGCACCCCAAACACCTACAACCCTGTGTTCACTGGAGGGAACCCCAGATGTCAGATTGCCTTAAATGCACATTGAACAAGTGGCTTCAACCATATACATACTTGGCAGAGAAAGAAATACTTTAGATAATTTGCTGAAATTATTTTACTCATATTCTCAATATACATAGGTATTGCTCTATAGGTGATGGGATTTTTTTTTAAGGGAAGTTTTATTATTTCTACCTGGTCTTCTGTGTGATCCTATTGTACTTCAAAGTTAGTTGGTGAGCGTCTCAGTGAATCTATTCTGATCCAGTATATGTCTTTGAATGCACTTGGATTAAAGTGCAGAAGGAAAAGTGAAGGTGCCCAGATGTTCCAGTGTTAAGTCCCACCAGCAATGGGATTTTTTTTTTAATTTAATTTATTTATTTTTGGCTGCATTGGGTCTTCATTGCTGCATGCAGGCTTTCTCTAGTTGCGGCGAGCGGGGGCTACTCTTCGTTGCGGTGCGCGGGCTTCTCACTGTGGTGGCTTCTCTTGTTGCGGAGCACGGGCTCTAGGCGCGCAGGCTTTAGTGTGGCTCCCGGGCTCTAGAGCGCAGGCTAAGTAGTTGTGGCACACGGGCTTAGCTGCTCTGCAGCGTGTGGGATCTTCCCAGACCAGGGCTCGAGCCTGTGTCCCCTGCGTTGGCAGGTTGATTCTTAACCACTGCGCCACCAGGGAAGCCCAGCCCTGGGATTTAATGCACTAAGACTTGCAGACTTGATTCACTCGAAATTGCATTCCCGATTTCCCAGACATTAGGTTTTAAATCTAAAAACTAACTAGCCTAGTCAGAGTTTTGCCTTTCCTGCTGGGAATAGTGGTGACAGTAGAGCTCAGGGCTCTAGAAAGAATGCTCTGAGTGCAAGTTCTGCCCAGTCCTTTGCCACCACACAGAGCAGCGAGGACCAGACCTGGCCTGCTGTCCTCTAGGGGGCAGCCCTAAGGCCCCTGGGTGGGACCGAGCCTGCCTAGGTGACACAGCAGCTGAGTCATCTTCCCTTCCAC